GTTAAAGCGTCAAGACTAAGGCACTATGTTGGCAAAAGAGATGCCAAATAAGTCGATGACTTCTTTTGGCAAATGGAGTAATACTTCGAGGTAGTGGGCTTGAGCGAGGATATGAGTCGTGTCAAAATTGCTAATTTCTACCTTATAGAGGATGTTGCTTTATGGTGACGTGTGAAGCACCAAGAGCATAAAGAGAAAAATCAAGAGTTGTCTAGTTTGGATGAATTCAAAGAAGCCATGTATGTTCAATTTTAACCTCGAGGAAGAAGATTCGGAAGTGCAATATAAGCTACGAACGTTGAAGCATACGAGAACTATTCACTAGTATGTTAGGGAATATATCTCACTTAAACTTCAAGTATGTTACAAACATAACTATGATCATAAGTATAATTTTATTAACGGACTTCAACCATGAGCGTAACAAGAGGTGTGAGGTTGATGGCCTAAGACCTTCACTAATGTTATGGCTATAGCTGAATCCCTAATTAAGTATAAAGAGAAGGTGGAACTCTCCAAGCCTAAGAAAGACTTAAAGAGTAAAGATGAGGGAGCCTACAAAAACAAAGAGTACAAAAATAGGTAAGACAAAGCACACAAATCTAAAAGTTTTGTTAAAGAGCATGATAAGAGAGAATTTAAGCACAAGGGTTGTTATTTCTACAACAGGTCACATCAATGGAGAGAGTACCCAAAACGACAAGCCTTCAATGCCTTAATGGGGGAGAAAGAGTGTGCTTCCGAGCATGAGAAACACATAGGGTCGTTATGGCTTCTCAATGCCTTGAATGTCAAGTCCTTGCCTAAAGTGCCACCAAATGATAGGCTAATGTATGTGGATATGGATGTGAACGTGAATGGCAAGGTTGCACTCACCATGCTAGACACAATGTCACACATAACTTTATGGTCGATAATGACGCCAAGAGACTTGGTTTGGTGGTGACCAAGTCATCAAGTAGCATGAAGATGATGAATACTTCTTTAAAGCCTATTAGTGGCATAATGAAAAAAATAAGATTTGGCATAGGTGCATGGATGTGAATGTTGGATTTCACAAGTTGTCATGATGAATGACTTCAAGATTATGCTAGGTATAGTAGTTCTTCAAACAAATGAAAGTCTTGCCTACACCTCGACTGGAGTAAATGATGATAATGAAAGAAGAGACACCATGCATGATGCCAGCTAAGGCACATGTTAAATAAAAAATGAAGCATTTTTCAGCTATGTAAGTGAAGAAGAGCTTTCATAAAGGAAAAGTCACCTACTTAGCAACATTGAGAGAAGATGGATTGGTGGATGATGATGGTACGGAGATGCCCAAAGATATTACTAATGTGTTAGCCAAATTTGATGATGCGATGCCACTAGAGTTAATCTAAGAAGTCACCATCTAAGAAAGAGATCGATCACCAAATAGAGTAGGTATTGGGTGCTAAACCACCAACCATGACAGCTTATCATATAGTCCCTCCCGACTTGAAGGAATTGAGAAACCAATTAAAGGCTATGTTAGAGTTTGAACAAATACAACCCTTCAAGTCGTCTTATAGCTCGCTCGTGTTGTTCCAAAAGAAGCAAGATGGATTGTTGAGAATGTATGTCCACTAACAAGCATCAACCAAGATCATGGTGAAAAAAAGTATCTAATTTTATTAATAATCGACTTATTCAATTAGTTGGGAAAAACTCAATTTTATACCAAGCTTGATTTGAGATCGAGGTATTATCAAGTTCAAATTACAACTAAAGATATGTCAAGGATGATATGTTTGACAAGGTATGGTTCCTATGAATTCCTTTTCATGCCTTTTGGCTTGACAAACATCTCGGCTACCTTCGACACCTTAATTAATAAGGTATTTTAGCCATACATTGATCATTTCATAGTGGTATATCTTGATGATATTGTGCTTTATAGCTCTACGTTTGAGGAGCATCTAGACCACCTACATACCGTATTCAAGGTATTAAAGAAGAACGAATTATATGTCAAAAAGGAGAAGTGCTCTTTTATAAAATAAAAAAAAAGTACACTTCCTAAGACACAAGATTAAAGGAGGAATGTTTATGGTGGATGAGGTCAAAATCAAAGCTATCTTAGAATAGGAAATGCCAACCAAGATGCCCGAGCTTTGCTCTTTCCTTGGGTTTGTCAATTACTATTGTCATTTCATTCGTGATTACTTAAAAAAGATGGCCCTTCCCACTAACTTATTGAAGAAAAACAAGAGATGAAAGTGGAATGAACAATGCTAAGAAGCTTTTGAGTAGGAGCTAAAGCAAGTCCATTGTCGAGGAACTAGTATTGAGCTTGGTCGACCCAACCAAACCATATGAGGTACACATTAATGCTTCTAATTTTGCTATAAATGATGTGTTGATACAGGAACATCCTATAGCTTACAAAAGTAAAAAGCTAAATGACATCGAATGTCAATATTCGGTGCAAGAAAAAAGATGATTGTAGTAGTGCATTACTTGCGTACTTGAAGTCACTACTTGCTAGTGGTCTCGGCTTCTAATGAAGATAGACAATGTAGCCACAAGTTACTTCTAAACTCAAAAGAAACCGATGCCAAAATAGGCCGGATAGCAAGAATTTTTTTTTTATTGAATTTGATTATGTTTTTAAGTACAAGTTAGACAAAACGAATGTAAGTGGTCGATGGACCTAGTAGAAAGGCTCGATTGCATTTATGATAAAGGTGGATGAAGAGATCGTAGCTAAAATTAAGGAAGGAATGAAGTATGATCCCAATCGTTAAAAATTTGTTGGCCCTTACTATGAAGGGAAAAAATTAAAAATTTTAGGAGGATAGGGGCATTATTTACCCAAAAAGGAGGAGGATTTATATGCCTAAGTGGTAAAATCTCTTATGAGATATGATGAAGGAATGTTATGGCTTGATGTGGGCTAGACATCTAAATTAACAACATAATAGAGTCTTGTTAAAGGAAGCATATTTTTTATTGTAGTTGTGTGACGATGTGGAGTCTTATGTGAGAACATGTCCGGTGTGCCGGTAAGACAAGGTTGAAAATCGAGTGCTTGGGGATTTATTACGGTCTTTGCTCGTTGCAAAAAAACCATGGGAGATAATAATAACCACCGACTACATAGTGGCTTTACTAAAATCGAAGAACTTTAGGAGCATTATTATAGTCATGGATAGGTTCTTTAAGTATGTCACTTTCATACCAACTCTAGTGGATGTAACAACCAAAAGCACTCGCTAAACTACTTTTCAAACATGTGGTGAAATATTGAGGTTTGTCACAACATATAATCAATGATCAAAATCTCCGATTCACCGGAAAGTTATAGATTGGATTATTTAAGTTGTTGGGCTCAAAGTTGCACTACTCTATAAGCTTCCACCCATAGATAAATAAGCGGACGGGATGGGTAAATACATTACTAAAGACGTATTTGAGGTGCTTCGTAAGTGTCAACCAATGAGATTGGGCTAAGTTACTAGATGTTGCCTAATTTTTCTATAACCTATAAAAAAAATGAGTTTACAAACAAGAGTTCGTTGGAGATTGTAACGAGTCGACAGCCTCTTACTTCACATACAATGGTGATAGGTGACAAGTACTAAAGAAACAACATGAATGCATATTTGTTAGCCAAAAAATGACAAGAACGGACAAACTAGACATAAATGTATTTGAAAGATTAAGAACTGGCCGACAAAAACACAGAGACTTCACCTTCCAATCGGGTAATAAAGTGATGGTAAAGTTGCTACCACAACAATATAAAGTGCTTCGTAAGGTGCATAAAAGTCTCATACGTCGATATAAAGGACCATTCGAGGTAGTGCACAAGGTGGAAATGGTGTCTAATCGCCTTCATTTAGTATGCTAAAGCTATACTATGCGGATGAGGAGGATCCAAACCGAAGAGTTTCTCGTATGACGCCTACAATGGTAGTTGACTATTATGACAAACAAGTTGATGTCATACTTGATGATCGCACAATTAGATATCGTGAAGTGCCACCGAAAAAGGAATATTATATGAAATAAAAGAGATTACCGAAAGCGAGCTAGTCGGGAACCTGCTACAGACTCTTAAGAATTTGCACGAAAGGTCGAGTATAATGAAAGCGTGCCGAGGGCATCTTCAAATTAGATAGAGGAGAATGTTACTCCCCACACAAAAAAGAGATTTTACCGAAGCCCAATTAGGAACGCTAGCTAAGTCCGAAAGCCTCTAAAAGATTTTAAAGCAATAGAAAAACCTCTAGAGAGTCCCGCATTGTTCTAACTTCTACCTATCTAGATAGTTCTTTGTAAATATTTAGGTAGGAAAATTCTAGAGAATCATTTGTAACTATTTGATTAAATAAATCCTAACCATTCGTTGAGAAAGTGAAGAACTATAAATAGGTAAGGCCTTCATTTAGCTACAAGCATCCAATCCAGGAGAGATACAAGAGTTGTATTCTAAGAGAATTGTGAGTTTTAAATAACAATACAAAGAGTTTTTATATCTTTTATGTGTGTTTTTTTTTCTTGACAACTTTACATGGAAGAAGATTGACTTGATTTGGTTAGCCAAGTGCCACACATAAGCTTGGAACAGGCCAAGTGCATAGTGTTATCACATTACGGCTCTATCAAAATGACCATTAATTGAGATTACTTATACATCAGTATCGTTTTGTATGTATATCTCACTGTTGAAATGAAATTGCTAGAACTGACAGTAAGCGTGGGCATTATAGCAAATATACATACAGATGAAGTGTAGGGCTCTCAGAGTCTGCAAATGCGAGTGATATCTCACTCCAAACAAGTAAGTTGCATTGTCTACAGAAAAACAAATGGTGAAGGAAAAGGAGCAAGATCTATTTTCCATCATGAATATTTAAAACGAGTATTATATACAATACTAAAAATGAAAATGGGATTTGCACCATAGAATACCTAATTCTATTTACAAGTCGGTATGCTGCATAAATTGCAATTCTACAGCATGTCAATTATCATGAACGCCGAGATTCAGACTTGGAATCATTACCCCGCTTTGTGTACAATGAATTTACAGCTGGAACTTCAACTCGAGGAGACACCATTGCAGTAAGGGGCTGGAAGTTTGTATTTCCAATGAACCAGTAGAGAGCCCATTTCAAATTGCAGAGTGTGTACTTGAGCGCTTTGGTCCAATTTTCCTGCTTATTGAAGCTTTGTGTAATAGAGTGATTTTCCACTTTGTCATTCTCAATCCTGCAAAATTTATTTGCATGATCATGAGTAGCAAACAGCAACGCACAAAAAAAAAAGAAAAAAAAAGAATCCTAAACAAACATTTCCCAAGTACAACAGCTGTAAAACATGGCTTCAAAACTTGTATGGAAGTAAGTAAACAGCAATTACAGGTGGAAGTAAGCGTTTACAAAAAGAAAAAAAATCGTAAACAAACATTTCCCAAACAAAACTTACTTATATGGAAGTTTGAAGCGTTTCTCTGGTGGAATGTTGTTTTCTTGATCCTTTGAATATGCAAACTCCGCAAAGTCCTTGAGGCATGTTAAGAACAAAGTCATTGCCTTGTCATAGCGAGTACTCCAAAACAAGTTCACCGGACCAAATCTAAGAAAAGCTCATGTCAGTAAAAAGAATCCAGCAGACAATGAAAAAATGAAAACTAAAATGTAGCAATATTCACAATCATGTTCTACACAATCTGGTAACTACTCCTGATGATCAAACCAGGCCACTCAGATAATTGGAACCAAAACCAAATCCACCACATCCCTCTTTCATGGATGAAGCATCATCCACTCACAGGATAAAGATTTCCTACTCAAAATTCATTCCTCATAATAAAAAATTTAAATCACATTAGAAACACCCAACTCAAAAATATATGAGTGGAGTAATTGATACTTACAGCTCGTAAACATTGCTGCTGCTGTCCATAATCCGTGGGTAACTACCCATAGGGAGTATTTTTATTCGATATCTAGAAAGTAAATATTAAGGAATACATCCTATCGGTTAACATGATGTGAAACTGACTTCAAATATGCTTTAAGAGATCAAAAACCAGATGCTTCTCTCAAAAAGAAGGCTTATGAAAGAAAACACAGGGAGTTCAACATTAGATGTCCACCAAGACAATGAAAAATTGCATGCCACACGCGCAAGTAACATTAACCGGATTAAAAGATAAATTTACTGCAGACTTGCAATACCTTGAGAAATCAGTCTTATCAATTTTCTGCTAAAGCACATGTATTAAAATTGTAAACACCCAGAGCAGGTTTTTGACATAACTAAATTGCCAAAGATGTGACTCTGCACCTAAAAAACCTTCCATTACAGAGCATCTGCCTTATCAAAGAAATTTTTTGTTGAAACTGCTGAGTAAATAAATTCGTTTAAAAAAACTCTTTAGAAAATTTGCGGTAGTAGTGACGGCAGCTAATAATCAATTTAGACATATAAAAAGAATACAGACTAAAAGGCCATCATTACTAAAGAAAAAAAAAAAAAGACTAACAGCTGTTGCCAGTATCTCTGCTGGTGCAAGAGGGGCCCGAACATCAGTCTGAAAATACGACTTACAAATGGAAGTGCATTTTTTTGAACATGTACCCCTAATAAAAATGGAAGAAAATATAATTAATAACAACACCTCTCAAAGTAAGAAAAAAAATTATTTTCTAAATATTAGTTATTTCAGGGAACAGAGAGTTCAAAAAACCACCATAGGTTATTTAACTCAAACATCTGGCATATCATATATGATTAACTTATCAAAATACCTCATGTAGGTAACCAAGGACATGATCTCTTATAACAATAAAGGCTAATGAAGTTTGTTAGCGTCTTTATGCTCATATTTAAATGAATGTACCAAGGAATGCTAACAAGGAATTACTTTTCTTAACAGATTGCCGATGAGAAGCAAATAGATGACTTATAAAATAAAGGATACTGAAACTTTGGCTTGAAGTATTGACACATTGTGTGGAGGAGAAGGCAGGCTTGGCCCCAGGCAGCATTTATTTCATCCCATTCAACCTAAATGTTCATACAACTCCATCAACAAATAGTAAAGGACCAATCAACACTATGAGAAACATGTAATACATCTGAAAACATAATGGTAGCATAAAGTTATGATACAGAACCAATCAAGACATCAATACACTAATAAATACAGGAATATCCATGCAAACCATGACACAGAAAAGAAATTCTTAATATCAGTTTAAAATCTGGTTGATGAAGCAATTCCTGTGATTGTCAGAGCAAGAGGACATTTGCACTGAGGTTATTCTTTTACTCATCATGACCCTTGACCAGGAATTCGGGATACAGTCAGGTAAAATCCACCACTATATCTCTCTCAACAACACCCCCCCCCCCCCCCCCCAACCCACCAAAAAAAAAAAAAAAAAGAAAAAAAAAACTCCCAGATCTCTTCCTAGATCCATGACCATCACCATTTGATGCAACTTATATAAATGACAGAATCTTAGTGCATTATGGTGTACGTGAGGTTCCCCAAAAGCCATAACAGTACATGACTTAAGAATGTACATATTTAAATCTGCATTTGTAAACGCACATACACTGTCTGACAAGATGTCCCTGTTGAATGCTTTACAAATTACCTTCAGCATAGCAATTGACTAATCTAATGGTTGGGATTAAGGTTTTACTAGCTTAAGCTTGATTTAGTATCATCTTGACAGAAAGCCAAACCTACATTCAACCCACCCTTTCTTTAGGGCCGCATGCAAAAAGCCAAGCGAATAAAGGAGGTTAGGAGGAATTTCATGTTAAATTTGCCAAGAATGCCTAGGAGAGAATACAATGTATATCTGTGTAATATTTCCAGCTGTCATATGCAAATGACAAAGGTGAAAAACAGAGAAGGCTTATAATCAAACCCCAACACAGCATTCTTTAACAACAGAAAAAAGAAAAAGAGAAGTACATGCTTATTTCTTTACCGGAATTTTAGGAAGTCTTCCGAGTCGAAAATTGTTTATTGTACCAAACTCTCCATCATGATGGATAGGGAAGGCATCATTCAGTACATTAGTTTGCTTCAACAATTCCAAATGAGCTTGTGACACTTCAGTTTTCGCCAGAATGGCATCTCTCTCTTCCTGTTAACCAGGTTTTTTGGTTGTGAGTAAAGAAAAGGTATTAAAAAAGGCAGCAATTGAATAAATATACAGCTCCAGGATCAGTAATGGATTAATTTTTACTTATTAGTGACTAGAAGGATAATATCTATGTAACTTCCACCTGGAAAGTTAGCATAATGATGCCTAAATTGATTTACCACGTTGAGCTAAAAGGTAAACATTTTACTGAAAGGACAGGTCTCTGGCTGCAGCTGATCTATAGATACGAAACTGCTCTGAATTGTCATTGCAGGGACAATATTAACATGATATCCATCTACAAAGCTAGTGGAAAGATACCTACATTAATTTGCATGTTAGGATAAAAGGTTTTGAGCTCATATGGACATATATGACAGATATAAACACTAACAGTATAGCCACAACAAAGATGTTTGATCAATAGATGACATTCCCAGAGGAAAATCTGAAACCATTTTTGAATGACAGCCAAATAAACCAAATAGATAATGAAGAAGATTTTTTATTTTTTTTAATGAATTGCAAATGCTAGTGAACAGAAAACAGATAATCAGCAACACACCTGATGTGAAATTATCTGAAACTGAAAATTATTGAACTCCTGCCAATACCTGTTACAGATTGAATTAAAAACATGAACACGAACAACTGATAAGATGAAGTTTCAAATATATGGTGCATGTTACAGTAAACAAATATCACACTGAAATGTCAATCTCTGAGATGGACAGTTTAGAAAGGAACAATCTAGTCACCCACGTGCACACATAAGTAGAAACTGAAAGAAGAAAACAGGGAAGAAACTTACCGCTCCTCCAATTCTTTAAAGCGGCCAGATTTAATTTCCAGTTCCTTCAGTTCAGCATTTACTTCTGCATATTGTTTCTCTGTTTCTTGAACTGCTGCTTCAAGTTTTCTTTCTTCTTCCTCAATCTAAAAGTGTGTCCATAAATAATCAAATGAACATTTTGACCTCAGATAGAAAATTTTCAAAGGCTATTAGCCATAACAATTCCCTTCTTTTTTCCTTTTTCCTTTTTCCATATAAGATGGTTGGCATGTTCAAGTAAATTGGAACGGGACTTTTTTTCTATGATCTGTCCATAAATTTATACACGATCTATGATTTAGTTCAATACAAAACCAAGCCCAATGTCAGCAACTTGGTTATCCATTTAAACTCCTCAAACTTCAACTTCATGACTTAGAGAAACAGAAAGATTTTATATATCGGTAACAGAGGAGGACTCTTGATGCTCATTACACAGATTGTTCCAATCATACTCATTACACAGATTCTTTCAATCAACTCCAAAGCACTTTCAAATGCATGCAGGACTGCTACAGCAACCCAGCTAAAGAAAAGGAAAGGACAAAAATTAAAGGAAAATAAAACAAATCTAATTCCTTATATCAGTCTAAGGAATTCAGAGGTAACCCTGCTGGTGATACCAAAAATTCAGTAAAAAGCAAAGGGCTTGCAAAAAATCAGAATATGTTTTAACTTTTACCATCTGACGATGGCTTGATTCGTGAAATGAGGTTTTAAAACCTTCCTGGCATGTTTGAAAATAAATGCAATAGAGCCAGGTAATAAGTAGGCACCTTTACTTTCTCTTTAATAAAATCTGCCTCACTAAGAACATCTCGTGCCTCCCCCTCCAAACGCTGAAGGCAGGCTTCATAAGCTTCGATGTCCCTGTTTACATCTTCAACCTCCTTATCGAGTTTATCGGACAACACCCTCATGCATTCAAGGCATAAAGGTTGCTCAACCTGGAAGTGCAAAATGAAACACAAAGATCATGATCCCAATGCATCTATAAAGTCCTCAATATCAGCAGTACAGAACATGATCTCAAGACTTGTGAAAACAAATCTAAAGACCTTAAAATTCCTATACCTGTGTCTGGGTTGTGGCAATTTCAAATGCACGTTTGAGGACAGTTATGGTAGAGTGGAATCCAGCATTATTGGGATGCAAATGACTATTAGGGCCTCCTTCTTGTGATGGAAAATGTGGCCCACCTCCATCAGATGATGGCTCAGACTTATACACAACCACAAAGGATTCTTCCATTGCCTTCCCAGACTGGCCAGCATCAGGCTGAACAGCTCCACTGCGAGGACGTGGAGGGACTCCTGGTGCCTGGGGCTTTTGTTTTGGCAACACAACAAAAGAATTGTCCATACGCGTTAAGCCTAAAATGCTGTTGGCCCCGTGGACAGAACAGCCCTGCATTGCTGCAATTATCCCATTCCAGACAATCAAAGCACAGGAAACGTCGAATACCGATTAAAATGAAGCATATTGTAGCTAAATAAATCCACCTAGACTTTACAAACTCAAAATGTCGAAAGCTAATGGCCTGGTCGCGTTATTAAACCCCAAATTAGTAAGGTGACTGATAATGGCAATTAAATTTCAGTTGACAGACTAAAACTCAATAATCACCATAAATCGATGACTAAATTTCACAATTTAAGGATAACATTAAGCTATGAGAACTGTTAATTCAAACAATTCAATAACTATTTGATCTTCTCCACGCTCAAGACGAGAAAACCCACCAATCTTTCCCGGCGAAAACCACAAAGCCAATTCAAATGCATAATTCATAAGTCATCAACACAGATACTTCTACTAGCAGGGATTTGTAATTTTTAAAAGAAAAAAAAAGGCTAACCGGAGCGAGAAGAGGAATCGTTCAAGAACTTGTCGGCGAAGGAATCGACGCCGACGACGCAAAGAGGGTTGCGGCAGTTCTGGCAAACCCATCGAGGGAGATTTGGATCCACCTGAAAGGTTCGATTCTTATCGCTCACAGTATCCTCCTCCTTCATTAGAAATATTGTATTTTTCTCTTTCCTATTTCTGTTTTGATTTTGCTAACTATAACTAGACAATATCATAACAGCTTCAAGTTACTTGATTGTTTGTTTTTTGGGAATGGAAGAAACATTTTACAATGTATTGTGTGCTGCGAATTCTGCATGATCCTTTTAATTTGCACATTTAATCAAATCAAACCCCTACTTTAAATTTGATCAAACCAACCATTCTCTTTCCAAATAAAGCTAATTGGCATCCTCTGCATGATGAGTGGGGCCAGCATACAAGTTAAAAAATAAGATAGTGTCTTAGTGTGTACTTATATAAATACTTATTATCATTTTCTTGTCGGAGCAAGAGAATGGAAGATAGAATAAAAAGTGTGTTTATGCAAATTTTTTTTATAAACTCTTATTTTTATTTAATATTTTAATCTAAAAGAATTCAATACAGTAAAGTATGTCAAGATACCAGGAATTATTGTTCAAAATAGAGTTAGTTTCTATCCAGTTTATTAAATTCGTATAGTTTCTTAAAAAAAAGTTTGAAATTAGTTCTTCTGTTATGTTAAGTTAGGTTTTTGTCTAAATTAGAATTAGTATTTGTCACATGACACACAATTCAAGTAAAGATGATGTATATTAAGGTTTTAAGTGTTACACGCCAATCACGTGACAAATACTAATCTCAATTTTAACAAAAACCTAACCTAACTGAATAAAATGATTTTTTTTTCATTAATTTTTTGTTAAATAAATTGAATAGAAATTATTTGTCTTTTCATCGATAATTTAGGGACCTGGTATATTTTATAATATTCAATAGTCTGTAACAAAGTTGTATAGAAAACTCAAATTAATTTTAATTGAAACCTAGGAGATAGATTTGACTACATTTTTTATTTAAAAAAAAAAAGCCCAAATCATATTTCATTTTAGGACAACTACATTTTAGTCCTGACATGTTCTACAACTTTCTTGAGAGGTACTAGCTAGATACCCGAGCCGTGCTATGGTAAGACAACCATTTTATACACGAGGTTAATAATTCATATAGTATGATGCGAGTAAATGTTTTGTTTATAAAAATTATTGTAAATCGAATCTATATATTTAGTAGACTTGTTTGATATATATATATATATATATATATATTCATTAAAAAATAATTTATAATATTAGTATAAAATTTTATATTTGAATAATTAAAATGTTCTTTCAAAACGTTAATTAAATTATTTCATTTACAAATATAGATTTTAGAAAATGAAAAAAAATAAATAATTGATCTTATACGTGCAAATATAATTAATTTCTAACAAAACTATATCCTATTAAGAAAATTTAGAATGTATAAAAAATAAATAAATAAATATAAAAAAAAAACTCACCTAAATCGAATGGAATATATCAAAGTAAATAAATTTAAATAAAAACTACTATAATACCGATTTCGATAAATTCGATTATATATATATATATATATATATATATATCGTACTTAGAAGGCTCGGAATATATAAAATAAATAAAACTATATATAAAAAACCTACTTAGATTGCATAGAATATATCGAAGTGAATAGATTTAAATAAAAGCTACTATAAATTTGGTTTCGATAAATTTTGATCATATATAAAACCAAATAAAACTTGTGAATTTTTTTAACCGATTATTATTTAAAAAAAATAAGTCAAATTATCTAAAACACACTTTTAGCTCTCTCTCTCTCTCTCTCTCACACACACACATCATAATTTATACATGTAACAACGCCATTTTCATTGAAAAATCATAAAAATAATCAATCGTATAAATTATAATACTACATTTAAAAAAATAAAATAATCATGTTCCAAAATTTTATTTCAAAAGCCATGTTTAAAAAATCAAATTTATTAAAAAATAAAATCATATAAATTTAAAAATTAATTCGATGAGAATTTTAATAAGAAACAAACAATTGAATAAATAAATTTTAAATAATAAAAATAATATAATTAGGTATATATATTCAAACTAAAATTTTAAAAACTATCATATATACTCTATTACTATCAAAATATAAGTAAAAAAAATAACGATCTTTTTTTATATTTTTACACCTAATTTCGGGATAAAAATATTATTTATATAGAAGGGGAACAACTCGTCATTTGATATTTAAATAAATTATTTATTAATAAATATTATATTATTATACCAATATATTTAAAATAATATTTAACTAATACAATGTAATATTAATTTAATTATATGGTATAATTATCAAATATATTATATTACTAAAATACTTATCAATTTTTATATATATTCAAATTCATAAAATAATATATCAATATATTATTTATATCCTAATGTAAAATAATAATAAAATATTATATTGTATAATAAATACAACATTCACAATCAAAATATAAATAAGTATTTTATAATAATTATTTGATATTTTTTATAAAATATAATGATAATATATTATAAGTATTAACTATAAATAATTTTATTATTTGAAAAAAAAATATTTCTAATAAATAAGGACCTAAAGAATATATTTCATCATATAATAATAGTCTTACAAATATAGAAACTTAAAAAAAAAATGAGGCCGGACGTTAAAAAAAAATAAAACAAAAAAGCATTGCATAAATACAATATTCACAATCAAAATACAAATAACTATGTTATAATTTTTATTTTATTTTTTTGTAAAATATAATGATAATGTATTATAATTATTAACTATAAATAATTTTATTATTTTAAAAAATATATTTATTATAAATAAGGACCTAAATAATATATTTGACCATATAATAATAGTCCTCCAAATATAGAAACTGAAAAAAAAAAAGATGGCTATATGCTAAAAAAAAACACTACTATTTTTTTGTAAAATATAATGATAATATATTATAATTATTAACTATAATAATAGTCCTACAAATACTTTAATAGATGGGAAAGAAGATAAATTATTCAACAAATTATATTACCTCCAAGGCAATGAAGATTGCAGAGTCTATTCATTGGAGAATGGAGAATAATGCATGAGTGTAAAAGTTAATATATATCATTGGATCCGAAAGAATGGATTGCGTTAAAAAAAAATGAAAATGGCCAAAAAGACAAAAAAAATTAGTTTTCAAACCAAATGGACTAATTAATTTATTCCCCAAAGATTGTTTTTTTTTTTTTTTGCTTTTTTCTATTTCTTAAAAGAAAAAATAAAATAATGAAAAGGATAAAACAAAATAGTTTTCAAACCAAAAGGACTAATTAATTTATCTCTCAAAGAATGAGGGACCAAGATGTAAAAAAACATGCATGAATAAGAATTCTGAGTGTATAGCTACAGTAAATGAATAGAAGCAATCCCAATTTTTTTAGTTTTTTTTACTAGTTGCATACCCGCGCTACGCTACGGACGGACAACGGGGTTAACGATTCTTATGATGTAATGTAAGTAGAAAGTTTATTTTTTATGATTAATATAAATCGAATATGTATATATATATATATAGAATAAATAAATAAAATATATAAAAAAACACCACCTAAATTGTAGAAATACATTGAAGTCAATATATTAAAATAAAAACTATAACAAAATTGGTTCGATAAATTCTAAATAAATACATAAAAAAAATAAAAATAAAACTTGTGAATTTTTTGAACACATTATTATTTAAAAAAAAATTGAGTCAAACTATCCAAAACATACTTTTAGTTCTCTCTCTCTCTCTCAACACTCATTTAAAAATATAAAAATAATTTTAATAAGAAACAAATAATTGAAGAAATAAATTTTAAACAATAAAAATAAAATAATCATATATGTATGTTAACATCAATGTCAAGATATAATTAATATTAGTTCGGAGAAATTAAATGGACCAATAATATATATGTTTTCTTTCCTAGTGAAGTGACCAATTATATATGACCACTTAACTTGTACAACATTTGTTGGAGATCCAATTATGTTATGACAATATATATGTTCTTTTAAAGGTTTCCTTTTGCCTCTCGATGATCCAATCCTAAAACACATCAAAATTTAAAATAATTAGCCAACTTTTTTTTGTTCTATCATAAGATTGGTGGCCGAGCTTTTAAAAATATAAAATAAATTATAGGAAGGAAAAAAAAAAGAGCAAGGTCATGTCCGGTTAGTATGTGTGCATGTATATGTATATGTACACACACACACACATATATATCATACTTAACGTACTCGAGTATACAAATTAAATTAAAAATCATATAAAAAACTCACTTAAATTATATGAAATATGTCAAAGTGAATAGATTTAAATAAACACTACCATAAAATTGGTTTCGATAAATTCTAAAAACAAAAAAGAGCAAGTTCATGTTTGGTTAGTATGTGTGCGTATGTGTGTGTGTGTGTGTACACACACACACACATACGCACCAAATAAAATTATGAATTTTTTAACTAATTATGAATTCTTTGAAAAAAAAACCAAGTCAAATTATTTTTTTAATCGATTATTATTTTTTTAAAAAAATGAAGTCAAATTATTTAAACACACTTTTAGCTTTTTCTCTCTCATTGGAAGAATTTATATAAGCAACAACGACATTTTCACATAAAAATAATCAATCGTATAAATTATAATAATATATCTTAAAAAATAAAACAATTATGTTCTAAAATTTTATTTCAAAATTCATATATATATTAACAAATTAAAAAAGAAAGGACAAACTAAATCTCAACAGACTCAACCCGTTAAAAAGAAAGAAAAAAAAAGGATGCTAGGCGGGAAAAAAAAATAGCTACGGTAATGAGACCGTGAAGGAACAATTCAGCGAGCCTAGGCCTTTAAAAAAAAAAAAGAAAAGAAAAAAAAAGAGGGAAAAAAGGGGTGGGGGGTGTAGTAGGAACGAGTCTCACCCACAGTTCTTTTAGTTTTTGTTTTTTATAATTTATGCGCTATATTGCGGTCGGATAATCATTATATACACGAGTTAACGATTTGTATGGTATGATGCGAGTAAATGTTTTGTTTTTGAAGATTAATGTATATCGAATCTATATATTAAGCGAACTTATTTAATTTTTATATACTCATTAACAAAATAATTTATAATATTATTATCAAAAATTTGTATTTGAATAATTAAGAAGTCGTTTCAAAAAATTAATTAAATTATTTTATTTAAAAATATAAATTTTAGAATATGAAAAAAAAAACAAATAATTGATGTTATGTGTGCGAGATATAATTAATTTATAACAAAACTATATATATCGTACTTGACCGATTTAGAATATATTAAATAAATAAATATAAAAAAAACTCACCTAAATCTCATGAAATATATCGAAGTAAATAGATTTAAATAAAAAATACTATAAAATTGGTTTTGATAAATTCTGATTATATATATAATTAAATAAAACTTGTGAATTTTTTAACTAATTATTTTTTTTAAATAGAGTAGAATTATTTTTTTAACTAATTATCATTTAAAAAAAAATTAACTCAAATGATCAAAAATACACTTCTAGCTCTCTCTGCCACTCATAAGAATTTATATATGACAAAACTATATATTTAAAAAAAACCAAAAGACCAAATCATATTTTATTTTTAGGAAAACTACATTTTGGTCCTTATATGTTTTACAACTTTCTTAAGAGGTATATTTGACTCAATTCTTTATTTAAAAAAAGCCCAAATCATATTTAATTTTTAGGACAACTGCAATTTAGTCCTTATATGTTTTACAACTTTTTTCAACGGACACGAGGTCTGTGAATCATTGCAGTGTTGACGTGTTGTCATCATAATGCTGCAATCTACGTTCTTTCTTTTCTCATGCTGTAAAGAACAAATAAAACCAACTTGTATGAGCTCAATTTGAGTTTAAGTTGAATTTTGGTTCAATTTAAATACTCCTCAAATAATAATATAGTTTAGCGATTCAAAGGAAGCACAAGAAGAAAATTGAGTTTCACCATTCCACTTAGAAACGCTTCAAACTTCCATATAAGTAAGTTTTTCGAGGATGTTAAAAATAATTTATAAATCTAATAATCGATGCTAATCATTCGAATTGTATATAAAAATCAAGCTAATTAAATTTAAATTTAGATTTTGTTCGAAACTAATTTATAAATTATAAATTATAAATTTAAATTAGGTTATTGATTAATAAATCTAGATTAATCGAACCAAACCGAACATGTTATTTTTTTAGGATTTTGGAAAATTTTCTTGATTGTGGTGACACCATGCAGGACAATATGCTATTTATTTCATTTTATTATCATGAGTATTAGAATCAATGTAACAATAGTCCACAATTTCTACCTCATAAAAAAATGACATTCATTACGTAATTTTTTTATTTATTTTAGTATGCACAAGCTATTTATTTATATTTTTGTAACACATATAGTTTTTGCTTAAATCCAAATCTATCTATATACGTCAAATATTTTCCCAAAAGCCTTGTCAATCACGTGGCAGCCCAACAAAATAACAATTTTAATCAAAGTAAATTCGTTTCTTGGTGGATCTATAATCAAACTCAAATAAGATTTAATTAAACAATACAACGATGTGTGATAGTATGTGTGTATGTTTTACTATCCAACTTCACTTGCATTGATAGTGGATATATCTCTCTGTATTTATTTATTTATTGAGAATTCATACACAATCATACAAGTTGCGTGCAATTCTGTTGGTTTGTTGAATTAAAGGTATAATATATTAAATATAAGTATAAGTTTGAGGTATTTGTCTTCTTTTCTCAGAATTTTGTAAATTTTTCTTGATTTTGCTGATGTAATACTTTATTTTTTATTAGGAATATTGAAATTAGTTTAAAAGTTGGACACAATTTCTACCCCACAAAAAGAATGATATTATTTATGTAATATTTATATGTCATTTAAAATTTTATATTAAAAATAAGTTTGCAATAAAACTTTCAAGCATGATTAAAAGAGAGAGAGAGAGATAAAAAATAAAACTCCCACTGTATTAACATATGATCAAAATAAAATTTTTTGTTTTAGAAGTCTACCATCAGATAACTTGTTTATATATATATATATATATATATATATATATATATATATATATTTTAGTATGCACGCGATATTTATTTATTTTTGTTAACCCATGCGATGTATAAGTAATCGACAATCACTGTTGATGAATGAAGAAGTGAAGAATGCAAGTCGAAATTGCAGGGCCATCGTTGTTGGTGGTTGTCGGCAACCACCATTGGTGGGAGATTGCAGGGCTACAATTTGAATTTTATTCTTAGTTGAGTTATTATGTTTCAATCTGAAATCATTTTTGGAAACAAAGATAAATTTGACATCAGAAAGGACAATTTGTATATAAAAATTATCATCACTGGTGACTAATGACACTTTTACAATAAATTCAATTTGGACATAAAAATTATCATCGCAGGTGGCTAACGATACTTCTATACTAAATTTTAACGTTTTATTTTGGATTTTGTACGGAATTCAATGGAAATGTAATGTGAAAATAGAATTAAATAATAAGATGTTAAATGAAATGAAAATACAAACTAAAAATAATAATAGGAAAAAGGGGTTACGTAGACGTTAAAAACCTTACTCTATTAAAAAATCGAAACTCTAGGCCCAAGTACCAACCCAAAAATTACAAGCCCACTCACCATAACCGACAAGACCCGGCAAAGCAATTAGGGCTTTCCCTTCTATTTAAACCGCGACCATTGATTTGCTTTCTCCTCTTTGACCAATATCCTCTCGTGGTAATCTGATCCTTCCTTGTCCGTTTTCCTTCGTCATAGCTACCAGCAATGAAAGATCACAACGATCGGCCGTTCCAGATCTTCGCGAAACTTCTGGACGGAAAAACAACAATTCTAAATTTCAGAACTCCAGATTCACGTACCACCCAGTCAATCAAGCAAAAAATATTCGAAATCACGAAAATCCCAGTCCATTATCAACGTTTGATCTGCAGAGGAGTCCAATTACACGACGATGCGATCATCTCAACCCCCGAATCTACCGTCTATCTCCTCCTCCGTCTCCTCGGTGGCAAAGGTGGGTTCGGGTCTCTCCTCCGTGGGGCCGCCACAAAAGCGGGTCAAAAGAAGACGAATAATTTTGACGCGTGTCGGGATATGAGTGGAAGGAGGTTGAGGCATGTGAACGCGGAGAAGAAGTTGGAGGAGTGGAAAGCGGAGGAAGAGGATAGGAGGCTGGAGAAGATTGCGGAGGAGTTTATGAAGAAGAAGGCGAAGAAAGGAAAGAAAGGGGTTGGAGATGGTGAGGCGGAGAAGTATGTGGCTAAGTATAGAGAGGAGTCGGCGAAATGTGCTGCAGTAGTCGAGGAGGCTGTGAGGGAGGTGTTTGGGAATGGGAATGGTTTTAGGAAGAGGAAGGGGAAGGGGGTTTTGGAAGGCGCAGAAGCCAAGAAATTAAAGATTTGGTGAGTGTCCTTGTTTGTGTTTATCACTCTAATTTGTCCATTGAATTGTTTTTTTTTTTTTTTTTTGGATTAGGAATATTTTAGTTTAGGAGATTGGTAAGTGTTGTTGTTTTAGAATCTTGTTGGGGTGTATAACATGAAAATTAAAGAGATCGGGGAGTATAAAATTTGGATATTTTATATGTTTGCGAAATTGGATATTATAAACAAGCTTGAAGATTCTGTGGAGGGTTTAGGACTGTGATTTCGTGATCTGAGTGTTTCAGTTATTGAGATGCTCAGGAGAAAAGGTTTGAAGTGGGCTATGATGTTTGCCTTGATGTGTATGATTGGTGTTGTTTCATTGCATTAGAACGAGAATGAAACATGTTTTTCTTGAAATTATTTGTCCATCATAGACTATTTTACATGATTTTTTTAGTCGTATTCTGTCTTTCCTCTCTTCCATGCGATATAGGCTTTGAATTTCTGATGATTGATTTTTTTTTTTTTAATAGGATGGGGAAGAGAAAATTGGGTGAAAGTGATAGTGAAGAAATGGATGAAGATAACAGTGATGATGACAGCGATGAGGAAAACAAAAAATCTGTTGTTTTAAATAATGGGAATCACTCAGATTCAAATAAGGATGCTGAGGGGAGTACAGATTCGGTTACTGGAAATCAAGATGGAGAATGTTCCAGTGTTGCATCATTCACTAGTGGCTCTGAGGGAGAAAAGGAGGCTTCTGCAGAGCAAAGCTTGATATCTAATCACCGTGGAGAAATTGCTCCAAACAAAGAGGATGAAGTGGTTGAAGCACAGATTCTTGAGGAAACAGTAGTGAAGACTGCAGAGATTTCTGAAACTGAAGCACTTGAGGCAGAAAAGCAGGAGACTATTGGACCTAATTCTCAATGTCCAGATGCATCAAGTTTTGGAGATGGGGGAATTATTGAAAGCAGACCAACTATTGCCGAAGCCGTTGATTTCTCTAGGTCAAAACCTGAGTCTAATGAAATAGTTAATGTACGCAATGGTGATTTGGAGAAGCCTATAAATTTTGATGAATTCAATTCAGCATCAGAGTTGGAGGTATGTTTGCAAAGTCCAATGTTTCTTCCTTTATTTGCAGAGCATGTCAGTATGAGCTTTTCCTAGCCATCACATTGACTTAATTTGCTTGTCTAATAGCTTTATTATCAATTCCCACTTCTTTATGACAAAGTTTTGGCTTATCAAAAAACCAAAATTATGTGGTTAGGTGGCAATACATAAAGCTGTGATTTTATATGTTCTTGAATGGAGAACAATGATTTGTACAGTTAGTAGCTATATGGAGTGAAGCTTTATTGAGTGTAGTTGAGTAGACAAACTAGTCGAGATTGCAGCAATGCTATGCTGGGAGGTTCTGACATCAGTCCAGAAACCTTTTGTTACATAATAGGATGGTGTAAATGGAAGTGGTTAGGAGGCAATACATAAACCTTTTGAAAAGCATCGAGTAAGTGTAAATAAATTGGAGAAAGAGTTTTGCAATCACTCAGATGGCTTATTTGTTAATCCAGTAACACACTCAACATGAATTTATGATATAAAAAAGGATGTCTGTGTTTTTATTGTTGACAGTATTCCATGCTTGTGTAGTTAATTGAGCTCAATATGTGCAACCACTTGACATTCTCTCTGTCTGTTTTCCTCTTGCTTTAATAGGCACTTGGCATGGAAAGGTTGAAGACTGAGCTGCAGGTCCGTGGGCTTAAATGTGGCGGTACTTTGCAAGAGCGCGCTGCACGGCTTTTCCTCTTGAAATCTACCCCTTTGGAGAAGCTTCCCAAAAAACTACTTGCTAAGAAATGAGTGTACTTACAATGATTCGTCTGACTCGGTAGTATTGTTGAGGAATTCGTGCCTTTCTAATGTGTAGTTTTGAAGTCCGTACTTTTTACCTGTTATCTTATTACTTGTAACCACTACCTAAATTTGTAATTGCTCGACGAAATTGCCATGTAGCTTTTTCTAATGTCCTATCGAATGCCGAAGTTGAATTTTTAATTTGCACAGAAATGAAATAGTTTTGTGTTTTGCTGATTTACTGTCCTGAACTTTAGGGGACTTCTTGAGAAAACAATTCGTCACCACCATTTTTCGCTGTATTTGTCATAGTTATGGGCTGTTGGCTGACCTTTTGTTGTAACTTGTGTTCTCTTGAGTAGATCTGCAACGTCTTTTGTTTTTGTAGAGCTTGACTGCTTTAGAGGTTGCTTGTACAGCGTACAGTGGTTAGTTGCCTTGTGTGGAATCCCGTCCGCCTTTTATCCAACCTTTCTGCACGGCAAATTCAGAGAGACGTGGTGTTATTAAGTCGGAACTTTTAAACCAATTAATTACAAGAACTCTAAAACAGAAACATTTTTAAGTATTACTTTCACTGTAGTTCATGACTCGACTTACTTATTCATTTCACTGTTCTTACAACAGTATTTTCCTTATTTTTTAAACATAATTTTTGCCCCTCCTTTGCTTTTGTAATAACATTTTTGCCGTTCATTCATTGAATGCTCCCGGTAATTGCATTTTTGTTGGCTTATTTTCTTTCGATCTCGACCATCAATTTAAAACCCTAACAATCACAATTATTAAATCATAATATATAACTTCATTTTATCCCAATTTCATCTAGCCTCCATGTTCTCAGATAAAAATTGCCTAAATTCTTCTCTCTTCTCCTTTTATAATCAGAAGGTCCATCTCTCAGCTCAAAATCAATCTATCAATTTTCAACACTAAAGCAAGAGCCCTAAAAAATGAATCTTTCAATACTATTATACCTAGACGATACTCAACATACACAACCACAATCAAAATCGACCGCCCAATTCCCCTCCTCCATGGCCTCATACTCGCGGTCCTCCTTCTCTTTCTTTATCTACAAATTCTAACTGCCTTCCCAGTGGCACCACTCCCACCTTCGCCGGCATCTTCAAAGCAATTTTGGTTGGGGAGTATGTATTGCATTGATTTGGATGCAAACAAGAGATGTCGTTGAAACAGTAGTCGAAAATAGATTTAGCGAAGAAACAGAATTACATGATTACTTCTGATGTTGATGCTCAATGTCATTTTGACGAATTTTATGAGGATATTTTCGAAGAACTCGACAAAATTTGGGGAGATCTAGTTATATGGACCTGAGCCTAGAAAGCTAGCTAAACCCATATGAATGCGCAAAGGACCTCCCTCGCTAACCGATGTGGGATACATCATCGAGAGCCTTAATATTTGTGATGATCTCTTGGTTCACATGATCGATAACATTTATGTTCTGTTCAAAGAGGAGGACCAAGCTACCACCGCTTTGCAAGCTCTTCAGATTGGGAGGGATTTGTGAAGAAAGTTGTTTGGAAGATATCATGGATACAAGGTTAGTAGGAGCAGAAGTAAGACTGTGAGTCCGAGGAGGAGGGATAGAGATTATGATAGCCGTGAGAAGGATTACAGAGACAGTGATGATCATGAAGATGGGAGGAGGAATGACAAGTATGGCAGAGATGCTGGAAGGAAAAGACATGGGAGTCTGAAGAGGAGCAAGAGCCCGGTCAGGGGAGGCCGCGAGCAACGAAGGGCTAGGATTGAGCAGCAAAATAAAGAGAGGAAGGAGAATTGGTAATTTGATGAGGGAGAGCGTTGCTTTGGTTGGACTGGGAGTGGAGATGTATGTTGGCATTTTTCTCTTATTGGTAATGATTCCAGGCTTTAATCTGGTTTTCATGTTTTCTTAAACTTTTAATATCTAATTTTTAACATCTGAGACTTTATGGTGTCCTTACGAAGGATTCGAATTATTTTAGTTGGTACCTTCGTTATGTTGGTAATTATTTTCATTAAAAATGATTTAGTACTAATTCATCTTGCTATTAAATTAGTGTTATGAAGTCTATGCTGTTTTTGGCTCTCTGTTATTTGGGATTGGGTTTGCTTATTAATTTGACTGGCAATGCTAAAAGTTATTTGTTGAAATTTATTTTCAATAATAGTGAAAATCTTTTTTATTTTGTGTTGATTTTTTTTTTTTTTTAATGTTTTAAGGGTTTTTATTATTTTATTTTCATTTCCTATATGATGGCTCAACGAATTAATGAAACAGAAAGATGAATCGGTGGCTTCTTGTTATTGTTTTAAGTAAGATAATGAAAAATATCATGTATTCAATAACGGTTTAGTTACTTCTTAACAAATGAGGAAAACTTATTAGAAAAAAAGATATAATGAAGAGTTGCTTTGTTATAATTCTATTAGCTTGTTTTGATATAACGAACATGTGATTATTGAATTTGGTTCATTTAAAAAATAAACCTGGTTTGTTTTATACTTTGATTTATACGGTTGAGAATGTAGTTCTTATACTTTGCGGGGCTAAAAAATCGATTGAGAAGTTGGCGGCGATGAGTATAGACTTTTTTTCACACAAGCTGAAATCAATATAACAAACACATGATCCCGTGAAGATGAAAGGGTAACAAATATATCATGGTTAGTAAATTTTTGAAATTCCCAAGATAACAAAAAATAACCAATATTTGAAGAAATGTCTAATTTTGGTCAATTAAATTAATCAAGAAAAGTGTTTAATTTTTTGCATTTTTAGATTTCTTTGAATAATTTATGAAAAAAATAGGAGATTAAAATTAGGTGCTAACAGCCTTCTCTATTTCTAGATCTTAGGTATTTGTTATCTCTCTCTCTAATCAAATAAAAAAAGTAAGAAACTCCCTCTAAGTAAATCATTTCTCCATTTCACATCAACCATGCCATTCTCTTATTCAATCTACCATAGGAATGCATTTTATTGATTTTATGATGCTAGCTAAATTCTTGCAAACTTTGAAAAACTTAATTCATAATTGTGTTGTAGTCGATCTATTATTTGTTGACAAAATTTGATATAAAATTGATCTGAATTTTTAATAAGACAAATTGATACAAAATAGATTTTGGCGATCTTTGAGTGACAAAATTGATCGATGTGTATAAAGATTAATACATTTATTATTGTAGCCATTAAGAAATCTAAAACAACGAGTCAATATACACGAGTTCACATAGTTCAAAATACGATTTTTTTTTGTGATGCATGACCATCTTTTTGCTATTTGTGGATAAAATTTTCTATGTGATATTGTTTATTGTTTCGAATTTTGCATTTTTTATTATTTTTTGGCTAATTAGTATTTATCGGTTTTATTTCATAAATACTCTATTCATTCGTCGTCGTTTCATTGTTGTTAACTCGATATACTATAATTAGGTATGCTCGATGCTTTTTCTCTCCTCTTTTCTCGTTTTGATCCTTGTGTTTCGTTGCCCTTTCTTGGTTATAGGTGGTCTCAATTTAGTTATTGTGCTCCTACTTCGATTTATCAAGTCGGTCTTCTCCTTTTCTTATATATATATGTTTTTGTATGGTTGAGCTATTTTACATGTTATATGTATTGTATTTTTTAAATCAATTTTTTTATTTTTTTATTTTTTTGCAAAACTAGAGATGGATGGGATTGTTATTTTGGGGTGGTTTGTTTTTGTGTTTTTCTATTCATTTATATTTTTGAGTTCCCGATTATTTGGCATTGGAAAAATCCTATTATGTTTTTAAGGGATTCGTTGCACTCCACTTCACTTCTCTCGGTCTAAGTTCTTTTTTAGAGAGTATTAATGGGATCTTAGAAGGAAATACGAGTTTTGTTTGATGTGAATATTTTATTTGTTGCTTGGATTTTGGATATTACAATTGTTTAGAGTTAGAAAGAAGTTTTTTTGTGTTCTCGCTTTCTTATAGTTATAAAAATTTTATATTTTTTTATTTGTGACTAAAGAAAAGGAGAGATTTGGAGGGGGATGAAAATTAGAATTCAAAATTAGTCGACATGGTGAGTAGTAATTTGTTTCACTATAGAAATCATTCATGGCCATCGGAGTGTATCAACGAAAACACCTTACAATTGATTGGTACTCTATCTTTTTTGCTTTGATATAATCCATCTTTTTTTTCTCGTTTTGTTAATAATGTGAGTCAACTTTTTGATTTCTAAGAAAATTTATGAGAAGGAAAATACAAGTAAAAAAAAAATCTTTTTAAGAGATGGGTAAGAGGATTATGCCTTAGGCTACGTATTGCTTTAGCAAATCAATCACGTAAAAAGGAAACAATTAGTGATTTGCGGCATTATCTATGTATTTTGTTTGATAATATCTATTGGTCATTGCAATCAATTTTATTATCAATTATCAAAAAATGAAATAGAACTTAAACTTTATGCATTTGTTATATTTTCTATTCTAAGCAATGATGATTTTTTCCTTATTTATACTCTGTTGGTGTTGTGGTGTGTGTAGCTTTGTAAAAATTTATCATTCTATGAATAAAATTAGATGTTAGGTCAATCATTTGTTCATTATCGACTTTTTATAGTAGTTTTTTTTCCATATTATGTCTATTCCATGCTCCATTTCTTTCAATATTTTGTTAAATTTTAACTATATTGTAATTGAATTTTGATTTACTTGTTTTTTTTTTGTTTAGGTATTTGTATTTGCACCTTTGTTGGCGGTTTGCGGAGGATTTAATATTCTTTTTAGGTTACTTATTTTGTTTGCATTTTAGAGTTTTTTTATTGAATTTTTCCTTAAGCTAGTGAGTTGAGTTATTGCGTGCTCTTATTTTATTTTATTTTTTGGATTTTTATCATCAATTTTCTGGACATTGCGATGAGTTTTTTTATTGCCCTCATGTCTTGCCAGGCATAACTTATATTTAGTGGGGTTTTTAACTTTGGCTTCTTATTTAATCGTTCTTTGATTGAGAGTAATGTGTTCTCTTGCGGAATTGTTCGATTTGTACTCTACTTTTGTGGGTTGCATTGTTTTTCCGGCTTGATTCATTTTGTTTTTGATTTCTTTTCAACCATATAAGTTTTTGGTCTTGGTTTTTATACTTCTTATGTGTTCGTTGTGTGACGATTTTGTATGTGCTTTTTGATAGTCTTTATATATTTGTTTCTTATATAAGTTTGCCCTCAATTTTAACAATTTCATTTGGATTTCATGTCCACTATTTTTACAATTATGCATTTTGCGTTGCCTCATTTAGGAGCTATGTTATAGTTGTTAGTTGCGGGATGTATTTTCCTTTTTCTTTTTTTCTCCTCAATGTCTAACTATCGATTTAGTTATTTTTTAAAAACATAGTTTTGGTTGTATTGTTAGAATATTGACAAATAATTTTGTTATTTTTAATGAATTTGTTAATGCCCGTATAATATTATTATGGTTTTTTTTTTATAAAATATTTATGTAATTGGTTGTCGGATCGGTGGTTGAAAAATGACAACATCTATAGTGCCAATATTTGTTATTTATTTTTGCTTTTTTTTTTTCGGTATCGCACTTGTCATTGTGTGTTATTGGTGGTCCATTTCGGTCATGTTATATAAATGCACTCGGTGACACTAAGATATGATGCTTCGGGATCAAGTAGTTCTTTGTTATATTCTCGAGGTCGAAAATGGTTTTCTTTTTATATCAAGTGAACGAACTACCATTGAGCTAGTCGGTGGATGCGTTTTTTATAGAATCATTGTACAAATTTTTCTATATAAATTAATCGATGAATAAAAATCTCATTCTCTAAGTGCTCAAGCTGCAAGTAGAGATAAAATTTTATTTTTTCAAGGTATTTCATATTAAATTCTCTTTTTAAATAACTTATGGCATTTAGAATCTCTTTAGGAGTTCTAATAACATCAACGTATATAATAATGATCATAGACTCCTTTTTCGAATTTCTTTATAAAAATACATGAATAAATATAGTTATTTTTATAATCTTTTTTCAATAAATGTTTATCGAGGTGCTTATACCACATGCACTCGGGTTAGTAATAAAAAATAAATATTAAAAAAAAGAAATATAAAAAGTATAGCATAAATCAAATTTCTAAAAACTAAAGTAATAAAACAAATACATAAATAATTCATATAGAGATTTTTATAATTTAACCGAATTCATTTTTCGGGAATATGTATTACATGCTTTAGGCATCTTAAGTCATTTTAGGACTTTCATATAAATATAATTTTTAACTAAACAAATAAGTTGTGATCACATCCATTAAATGCATGTATATGAAGTTTTTCATATATTTTGCTAAGCTAACGAGATAATAAAATATAATTGTATACATTACAAGAGAATATGTCTCCGAATAGTTAATGTCGGGTTTTTGTAAAAACCCTAATGTTACAAGTCTTGCTTTATATCTCATGATCTCTTCTTTCTTATTTTGTTTTAGCATAAATATTCATTCGCATTTCACTAGCTTAACGTCTTTAGGTGTTTTGATTATGAGTTAAAAACTACTCGTTTGTAAAAAAATATAATTCTATCTTGATAGCTCTTTTATTGTGACTAATCATCTCTATGTCAATATTTTTTAATAAATTTAAGCTCATAATCCTTATTTTCATTCAAAATATCAATTGCAATTTATATGCAAAAATGTTATCAATAAATATTTTTTGGGTCCCATTTCTCTCCGTATTGATATAATTGATCAAAGTCTCTTGATTTTATCAAGCATTTGGACTTTTTCTAGAAGCCTATTATCGAAATATCTTGGATCATTTTTTGAATATTTATATTTTAATCTTGATTATTTGTCCTTTTCTTTCGGGAATTTTTGTTTTTAGAATCGATCGGTCTTT